GTGGTCTGGGAGGCAATTCCACATGGGAAGGCTCAAGTTCAGAGACTACCCTGAGTATGCTGAGCACAAGTGTGCCCATGATCCAGAGTTGGTTGAGGCTGGGGGTGGACTGTGGCACTGGGACCCTGTTGGCAGTACTGTTTGTCTGTCTGTCTCTCTTTCTCTCATTAATGGGGGAAAAGTAAAAACAAAACAAAACAAATTTTTCCTAAAAAGCTAAGAAAGTGTTTTGATTAAGGGAGATTAAAGAACCATGATACTCGGACCAGCAGATGGCATAATGGTTACATCGCTGTACTTCCATGTAGTTGACCATGGTTTGAATTCAGACTCAGCAGCTTAAAACATTCCAGGTGTGTGTGTGCCTACATGCCCCAAATCTCGAGAATGGAGGAGAAGGGATTGTGGTGTGGCCATCCCCTTGAGGGGTGCTTTCTCGCTTTCTCTTTCCATTTTTCTGGTGAGTGCACATACCCTATAGCAAAAATTTCTCTCAAGAAAAAAAAACAACTATGATACTGATACTTGGTTAGATCTTTTCTTAACATAAAAGATCTAACAGAGATATTGTTAAGACAACTGGAAGCGTCTGGACACTAGCTACTAGTACTGTTACCTTTTTTTGAGAGATTATTGTATTGTGGTTATGTGTGAGACTTCCTTGATTGTTAGGAGATACATACTGAAATATTTATATATAAAGTATCATGATGGCTGTAGGTTACTCTCAAATGGATGAGCAATATCTGTTCCTATGTGTGTTTATACAGTAAATGTGATGAAATATAACTACTGGTGAATTGAGGTGAAAGGTATGGTGATCATTATCTCATTCTTGCAATTTTTCTACAAATATGAAATATTTTAAATGAAAGGTTAGGAAAAAGTTAAAGGTAACTACAAGTAGGAGAGAAAAATTATGTATAATTTCCAAACAGTGAGAAGGAAAAAACAAACAAAGAAATAAAACTCAACCAATTAAGCAAAAGGCAGTTTAGGAACATTTGAAAAGGGGCAACAAGATATACAACAGAAAACATTAAACGAGATGATTGCAACTAGAACAAACATCAATTTTCTTAAGTAGTTTATATTTGCCTAGTGCTCTCTAATTGAGTAAAAGAAATCAGATTTAAACAGAGCTACATCTTTTTAAAAAAGACACAGAAAGCTAAAATAAAAGGATCAACACAGAAACAAGACCGTAGTAGTACTAATTATGATGTCAGACAAACAGTTCAAAGTGACAACTACCGAATGCAAGAAAGAAGAATTATTTTATGCTGTCAAAAATGTACAAACCTGGGGAAAAATATATGGATTTTTATAAATGTATAGCTTTGAAATACCTGCAACAAAAGCCACATTCAATTCCAAAGTTACAGTGAACATATGAAACAATTGTTTTAGAAATCTCTATTAGAGTAAATGTATAAAAATGAAGTGACTCAGAAGCCACGAATACTTAGTTGACTTAAAGAATAAGTATATGGAGCTGGCAGGTGGTGTAGTGATTAAGGTACTGGACGTCCCACATGGCCAACAATGGTTCAAGTCCTGGACCTGGCAGCTTGCTTTCTCACTTTCTTTCTGTTTGTCTCTCTCTGGTCAAATTAAAAAGATAAATAATAACAATAAATACAATTAAATAAATAAATCTCTTTAAAAAAAGAATAAGTATAGAGATACGTATATAACAAATGGTATTTAGAGAATGCTTTTTAAAATCATGTTGTAGGCTAGCCTGTGGTATGGTGGTTAAGGTGGCTGAATTCCACATGGCCAACTGTACAGTTCAAGTCCTAAACCTTGTGGCTTGAGAAATGAGTGTGTATGCATGTGTGCCCAAAATCTCAAAAGGAGGGAGAAATGGAAAAGGAGGAATTTCAGTGTGGCCATGCCCCATGAGGGCTGCTTTCTCAGTCCCTCTCTCTGTTTCTCTCTAGTGGGCTCGCATGCCCTCTGACAAAATTGAAAAATAATTTATATTGTTATTAATATTTTGTGAGGTACAAAAATGCTAATTTAAAAATGTGATAATAGGGATCCGCAGTTCGCGTAATGGCTATGTTGATGGACTCCTATGTAGCTGACCATGGTTTGAGTCCCAGATATGGTGGCTTAAACTCACACCGGGCGCAAGTGCGTGAGTGCCCAAGATCCCGACAAGAATGGAGGAGAAGGGATTGTGGCCATCCCCCAGGGGGTGATTTCTCGCTTTCTGTTTCTCTGTCTCTCTGTCTTTCTGGTGACTGCATGCACCCTATAGCAAAAAAAAAAAAAAAAAAAGGGATAATAGTATTCCAGTTTTATATAAAAATTAGTGTTTATCTTTTAAAGATACATTATTTTATTGACAAAATATCTCAATATCAGGAATTAGCTTCCAAACAAATTATTGGGTCATTGGAAAAGCCATGATGCATTTTCGCATAGAAAAACATTGAAAAATATGTCATGACTTTTCCAGCGACCCCATAGAAAGGTAAGGGAGTAAGTGGAGCATGGATTGAGCCAGTTTAGCAACTGGGTGATGGGTTCATGTGTGTTCATTGTTCTATTTTTATGTCTGTATATGTTTGAACATTTCCGAAGTAAAATATTTTTAAAAGCCATGATCCTGGCATTAAATCTATAATTAACATTCTTTTTTATACACCAAACATATAACCAGCAATGACCTCCAAGAATGTGAAGATCCTTGTTAAAAATAAAATGATTAGTATCATTCAGATATATATTTTTTAAACTTGAATCATACTCATATTTTCAGTACTTTGGAAGTTTTCTGGCTCTATTTCAACCAATTTCAAGGAGATACTCAATTTTCAAAATTCTGAAACCTTTTTAATAATCTGGAAATGAAGCCTCCTTTGTGGACAATATCTCTTACCATTTTTCAGACTGAGAGGAACTATAAGTAGCTTCACTTGGCAACGTGTATCAACTCTGGTTTCACAGGGATGTTCTCAAGCCAAGGCAATGGAGCAGATGGTGTTCAGAGCACAGCCATTTGTATGACACCCTTCTCTGTGTTTCTCCGATGACTTTGTGAACACAGAGATCACTAGAGCATGACAAACCATTCTCAAGGGAGTCATAGTTAAAGAGATGTCTAGGAGCGTCTATGCCAAGACTCTCCTTTTAGAGGGAAAAAGAGAGCTGAAAGGGCATGCTAAGGTTACACTGCCATTTCTGGCCAGCTGCAGATTCTAGGTTTCTGGGTTCTCCTGTGACAGCACAACCCTTTTCCTACAACAATTATTCGTTTGGACATTTCTCTCAAGTCATGTTATTGGAGATGTTCTTGAGTTTCTAATTCATAGGTCTTTGTAAATCATGTTCTTGAAGTAAAAAGTAATTCCTGGGATATATAACATATTCCACAAACTCTGGATAAATGAATAAAGAGGTGAACAGAACAGTTGAATTCCTTCATAGAAGCTCAATATTTGAGTTACAGTGAGACAAGTCTCCTTCCTAACCAAAAGACAGGGTGGACGAACTATTCTGGTAGGTTTACCTGAAACCTCCCTAAGAGTTTCATGCCAAAGCAAGAACCTCGCTCATTCCCCATACCTCTACACTACCCCAGGTATTTCTTCTTCACAATTCTACCCTGCCCTGTTCTCCTTAGTCAGAAATGCCAGTGCTCTTTGTTTCAAAGATGCTGAGAATTTTTTTTTTTTTGGAGGTTTTTTTGCTGTAGGGTGCGTGCGCTCGCCAGACAGAGAGAGACAGAGAGACAGCGAGAAATCACCCCCCAGGGGGGATGACCACGCTGCAATCCCTTCTCCTCCAGTCTCCTCTTGGGATCTTGGGCATGCACGCACACGTGCCCAGTGTGAGTTTTAAGCCACCGGGTCGGGGACGTGAACCACGGTGGACTACGTGGGAGTCCAGCGACATAGCTATTAAGCTAACTGCTGGTCAATGCTGAGAATTTTAATGTAAATCAGAGGGAGTGGCCCAAGGTACTTTTTCTATCACTGGTACTCCTCCAGCTTTCTCCATCTCGCTCATTCACTCATCCAATCACACATCCAAGTGTGTCTCTTGGGCACCTATGAACCTGCTTGAGGTCCAGCACAGTATGAGGCATGAGGACAGAGTAAGCAAACAGACTGAGCAATGCAAGAATTCTCAGTGCAGGCTAGCCCATGAGTGGTGGTTAAGTCAGCTGGATCCCACACACTGAACTGTGTGATTTGTGTCTTTGATCTGGCAGCTTGAAAAACACGCTGGACATGTGTGTGTGTGTGTGTTCAAAGTCCTGAGAGGAGAATGAGAAGAAGGGATTGAGCTATGGCCATCCCTCTTGAGAGATGCTGTATAGCTTTCTCTCTCTCTCTCTCTGGTGAGCACACAAGACCCATAGCAAAACTAAAAGAGTAACAATAATTTTTTTTTAAATAGCAATTCTTAGTGCAGTCTGTCCCTATACCTATCCCATGCTCTATCATCTGCCCCCAGAGATAAGAATTTTCTCCTAAATCCTAGATTTCATACACATTATTTATATCGTTTTTTTCCTGCTATCTTAACTTCTGAATCCTCTGCCTCTTATTTCTATCCTAACCAGATCTGGCTGGACATTTCACAACCTTTCCCACAGCTCTCCAGACTGCCTATGGGGTCTGTGGCTGCTTTCTTTTCTTCGCATTTTAATTGGAAGTCACTCTCTCCTATGAACCTTCTCAGATTAGTCATGCCAACTTGTGAGGTCAGCAGTGTACATTATCAAGCTACATGCAAGGGTCAGAATGGTCAGTATGAGTCCTCCCCTCAGAGAACTGAGTGGTGTGGTCTGAGAAGGGTACAGTAAAGAGGACCTTATTCCTCCTATGCACTGGAGTATTTTCAAAATCCAGTTGATCTATGTTGAATCCATGTCTGAATGCTGAATTCTCTTCTCTTAGCCTAAGAGCAACCTCAGCAAAATTAGAATTTTGTCTGATTTTCAACCTGGGGTCAACTTTCTCCATAGGTAAAGTACTCACCTAACTAAGACTGGAATCTTGGGCATCTTCTTGGACACTTTGAAGAAACTTGTGTCTCCTTTGTTGTCAGTGAAGTACACACCAGCCACGCTGGTCACAAGGTTCCCAGGGAACGTGAACAGAACCCTTTCGTCATCGCCCTGGTTGGCCCAATCCCAGGCTTGGCCTCCTATAAGCAAGCCCCCTCCACGTTTCATAAACGTGACTAGTTTCTCAGTCATGGTTTCATTGTAGGCATCAATGCAGTATACCCCCAGGGAGTCTTTCACTTCCGGCTCAATCTTGGCCTCCACTCCAGCACCCTCAAGAATTTTGGCCAAAGGAGCCAGGGATGGGTGTATACCAATGAGAGCTCCAGGGGAGGAGCAAAGCCAGCCCACGGCATTAAGGAGAAAGGGAGTGAGCTGGGCTTCCACCAAGTAGTCCTCGTGGGCTAGGACCACCAGGCGGCCTCGGCCATAGGACGAGGCAGCAATGAGCACCTGGCCCATGTCATTCACCATCACAGGAAAGGAGGCCTCGCCAATAAGCAGCAGTTCACATGGGATGGCATCTTCCGGGACATCCCAGCTTGTCACTCCACTCATAAGGGCCTCAAAGGCAGCAGACGGAGTCGCCATGGCTCTGTTGGTTTCTGTGGAAAAGAAAGCACAGACTCAGATCGGTGAAAACTGGACAAATGAAAACCAGAGGGGCAGCTCAGTCCTCCATGAGCCGGGGTGACTCTTCCCTCTGTGCAGATGAACCTGGCACCGGGAAATGATGCCAACACTCAATGTCAGTGTCCACAGTCAGGAACCCCATGAGCTCTGTCCTCTTCAAGTCTGTGGTCAAATGAGAGAGTCTGACATTTCCATCACAGTTGGAAACGAATGTAAGGGAGGAACCTGAGTGGAGTTGTGTTCCCTCCAAAAAACAACTAAGTGTGAACCCCTAGTACCTATAAATGTAACCTTATTTGGAAACAAAGGCTTACAGGTGTGAGGAAGTCATAATGAATTGGGATGGCCCTGGCCCAATGACTGATGTCCTTATAGGAAGAGGAGCTTTAGACCCAGAGGGACATGTACACACAGGGAAGGACAGTATCCCAGGATGGAGGCAGAGATTGAAGTGCTATGTCTACAAGCTAAGGAAGGCCAAAGGTTGCTGGCAAACACCAGAAGCTAGGAGACAGGCACAGAATAGAGCTGGACTCAGAAGCTCCAGAAAGAAGGAACACTGATGAACCTCAATTTCCAACTTTGAAGCCTCCAGAACTATGAGAGAAAAATAGCCTTGTTATATTAGGGCATCTGTTTGTGGTCACTTGCTGCAGCAGCCCCGGGGAACTAATACAGTGGGGCAGCGTGCTATCCCCCTCCCTGCCATTCCATACCTCTGGGCACCCACACTGGTTTTATTATCCCCAGCTTAGAGAACCCAGAACTTCAGTCTGAAAGTCTGGGTTTTCAGAAAGTGGAGTTTTGTCAAAGTCACAAAGGTTGAATAGAAGAAAGTGGAAGACCAACGCGGCTTGAATTCAAGTCCCAGACATCCTGGAGTAGATGGTTGCAAGTCATGAAGTTCTGGCCGGGTCTTGCCTACAGCTGGCCTGAGGAAGCTGTGTGCCTGTGGAAATGCACTCACAAACATCCTCTGCTTCTTCACCCATGAGCCCCCCCACCCCCACCCCCAAGGATAAGTGCTACATGCACCTTACACAATCAGCTCCTCCAAGGTCAGAGGACACCCAAGGCTCCCGTCCTCACTGACTGCTGCTGGGCGGCACTGCACATTGCTGCTCTCCTGTCTCTGAGGTTCACCCCACCCTAACAGTGTGGTGTGAGCTGGGACCACTTACTGCAAGGTCTTCCCTCACTTGCAATATACAGATATTTTGGCCTTTACCTCATCTCTTTCTACTTCCCTTGCAGAGAATAGCTTCCTGTCAAGGTAACATGTACAAGGACTCAGACTCTCAGGGTTCAGGCTGTCTAGCCATGAATCTCTGCTCTGCTGGTTACAAACCGTGAGATTTAGGCAGTGCATCTCAGCTTGGTTTCCTTATTCTGCAAATGCAGATAATAGTAACTAACTACCACGGAGAGTTGTCCGGGAACTAAAGGACACGATCCACATTAAATGCTTCCTCATTAGTAAGCAATTTTTTACACATGTATATATGCACATACATACATATGCTTACAATTAGTTGGTTAACAGTAAACCATTTGGGCCAGCAGGTGACATAGTGGTTACAGCACTGGACTCACACATGACTGATTACAGTTCAAGTCCCAGATCTGGCAGCTTGAAAATCATGCCAGGCTCATGTGTGTGCATGCCCAAAATGGAGGAAAAGGGATGATGGCATGGCCATCCTCCCAGGGAGTGATTTCTCATTTTCTCTCTCACTGTCTCTGGCTGTCTCTCTCTGGTGAGCACACACACCCTATAGCAAAAACCTTAAAAAAAAAAAGTAAGCCACTTAATTTAGGTATGTGAGTAATAGAGAATTTTTGCAAAGGGAAAAAAATAACTAACCATCATTAGGTTTTATTTTTTTTTTGGAGAGGTTTTCACTATAGGGCGCGTGCACTCGCCAGACCGAGAGAGACATAGAGACAGAAAGCGAGAAATCACCCCCCAGGGGGGATGGTCACGCCGCAATCCCTTCTCCTCCATTCTCCTCTCGGGATCTTGAAATGTAACCTTATTTGGAAACAAAGGCTTACAGGTGTGAGGAAGTCATAATGAATTGGGATGGCCCTGGCCCAATGACTGATGTCCTTATAGGAAGAGGAGCTTTAGACCCAGAGGGACATGTACACACAGGGAAGGACAGTATCCCAGGATGGAGGCAGAGATTGAAGTGCTATGTCTACAAGCTAAGGAAGGCCAAAGGTTGCTGGCAAACACCAGAAGCTAGGAGACAGGCACAGAATAGAGCTGGACTCAGAAGCTCCAGAAAGAAGGAACACTGATGAACCTCAATTTCCAACTTTGAAGCCTCCAGAACTATGAGAGAAAAATAGCCTTGTTATATTAGGGCATCTGTTTGTGGTCACTTGCTGCAGCAGCCCCGGGGAACTAATACAGTGGGGCAGCGTGCTATCCCCCTCCCTGCCATTCCATACCTCTGGGCACCCACACTGGTTTTATTATCCCCAGCTTAGAGAACCCAGAACTTCAGTCTGAAAGTCTGGGTTTTCAGAAAGTGGAGTTTTGTCAAAGTCACAAAGGTTGAATAGAAGAAAGTGGAAGACCAACGCGGCTTGAATTCAAGTCCCAGACATCCTGGAGTAGATGGTTGCAAGTCATGAAGTTCTGGCCGGGTCTTGCCTACAGCTGGCCTGAGGAAGCTGTGTGCCTGTGGAAATGCACTCACAAACATCCTCTGCTTCTTCACCCATGAGCCCCCCCACCCCCACCCCCAAGGATAAGTGCTACATGCACCTTACACAATCAGCTCCTCCAAGGTCAGAGGACACCCAAGGCTCCCGTCCTCACTGACTGCTGCTGGGCGGCACTGCACATTGCTGCTCTCCTGTCTCTGAGGTTCACCCCACCCTAACAGTGTGGTGTGAGCTGGGACCACTTACTGCAAGGTCTTCCCTCACTTGCAATATACAGATATTTTGGCCTTTACCTCATCTCTTTCTACTTCCCTTGCAGAGAATAGCTTCCTGTCAAGGTAACATGTACAAGGACTCAGACTCTCAGGGTTCAGGCTGTCTAGCCATGAATCTCTGCTCTGCTGGTTACAAACCGTGAGATTTAGGCAGTGCATCTCAGCTTGGTTTCCTTATTCTGCAAATGCAGATAATAGTAACTAACTACCACGGAGAGTTGTCCGGGAACTAAAGGACACGATCCACATTAAATGCTTCCTCATTAGTAAGCAATTTTTTACACATGTATATATGCACATACATACATATGCTTACAATTAGTTGGTTAACAGTAAACCATTTGGGCCAGCAGGTGACATAGTGGTTACAGCACTTGACTCACACATGACTGATTACAGTTCAAGTCCCAGATCTGGCAGCTTGAAAATCATGCCAGGCTCATGTGTGTGCATGCCCAAAATGGAGGAAAAGGGGTGATGGCATGGCCATCCTCCCAGGGAGTGATTTCTCATTTTCTCTCTCACTGTCTCTGGCTGTCTCTCTCTGGTGAGCACACACACCCTATAGCAAAAACCTTAAAAAAAAAAAGTAAGCCACTTAATTTAGGTATGTGAGTAATAGAGAATTTTTGCAAAGGGAAAAAAATAACTAACCATCATTAGGTTTTATTTTTTTTTTGGAGAGGTTTTCACTATAGGGCGCGTGCACTCGCCAGACCGAGAGAGACATAGAGACAGAAAGCGAGAAATCACCCCCCAGGGGGGATGGTCACGCCGCAATCCCTTCTCCTCCATTCTCCTCTCGGGATCTTGGGCACGCACACACATGCGCCCGGCGTGAGTTTTTAAGCCACCGGGTCCGGGATGCGAACCGTGGTCGACTACGTGGGAGTCCAGCGACATAGCCATTACGCTAACTGCTGGTCCCACCATCATTAGGTTTTAATAACACCTAACTGAGCTTTTGATTTTGTCTTTATAGTTTGCATATTTTGGAGCCAATGCCAATACAGATGCTAATACTAGTGCTGTTGTTATATTTACTTCTCAGATAGCTCTATGGGCCATTAACAGTAATTGGCATATACACCGTGTTCCATAAGGCCATGGATGGACAGATCTGGTCTTGAGGGAACTAATACTGAAAGGACATCCTGGTCTAAAACTAGTCTTACATTTTTTATTTACTCTCCAAACTAGCTCTTCTAAGGTAAATTACATAAACTCAGTGCTCTTAGCAGTGAAACAGAAACAGAAACCCGCCTCAGAGAACTGCTGAGAATGGACAATCCGCGAACACCTGGTTGGTAAGAGGCTTGTCGCTTCCCTGCTACTTGAGTTCACAAATAACCAGGACAGCAAATCGCACAGTCACACCATGTCCCTGCTCCCTCCTGTTCCCACATGCAGCTGGCCACAAGTCCTGTCAATGTCCTTATTCACATTCCCATTCACATCGACACTAATCTAGTTTAGGTTTTTAGTAATTCATAGCTGGACAAAACAGATCTAGTTTCTAAGTCACCAGGATTTGTTCCCACCTTTATTCTTCTAAAACCAGCCTAACCATCTTACTTCCCTGTAGAGAAACCCTTAGAGCGCTGCCTTGTACACAGAGAAAAACCTGACTGCTTCGTCCTGGTGTTTAAGGCCAATAGGGCTGGAGGCTCCTCAGGGTTTCCAGCCTTATTTCCTGTGACGTCTCTCCCTGAACCTTCCATCTGCCTGGTGTCCCTGGACATGACCTGCTTTCATTTCAGAGTCTTTCCATTCTCTTCCTTTCCTGTTGTCTCCCCATATCTTTTTGTCTATGGAAATCCTATCCTTCTGAGAAAGGACGTGCCCAGAAGAGGAAATTTTAAATGTCTAGATCTATAAAAAGAGAATGAATCTCACTAGTAGTCAAGTAAGAAAAACATAATGTATAATAAATTGGCCACAGATTGCCCGCCCCTCAAAAAAGAAAAAGAACTAAGGAGAAAGAGGAGGAGGGAGAAGAGGAGAAGAGGAAGGCAAAGAAGATGAAGTCGATGAAAGCGGCTAATAATAGCCACTGTTGGGAAGGTTCTGGGACACATCATAACCTGCTGGAAGGACTAAGAGTGTCTACACTTTCTTGAAAGCAATCTGACAGTGGCAAAGCAGTTTCAAACGTGTACTCATTCACTGTTGGGGGCCCAGTTATCCTTCTTCTAATAACCTTTCTTACAGAACTAAGAGTGGCAGTATTAAAGATATACAACACTTTGAAAAGTTGATGGAAAATTGGAACAAAAGTAAGTTTATTTTGGTGCAAGAAAAAAAATTAAAATCCATGCATAGTTTTTTCATAATATGCATTTTCCAGGAAACTTTTGAAGACACCACATATATGTACAAAGATACTAACTGTCACACAAAACCACACATAGATAAATGATAGATAAATGGACCCCTAGAAATGAAGATAGATTAATGACAAAGAATGTTTCCCTGAATCATATTCAGCTCTTATGAGTGCAGGATTTCGTTTGTTTTTTTTTTTAATTTGCTATTAAATTTAATTTGCTATTAATTTTTTCTCTCTCTGTCTCTCTCATATGCTTGTTTGAGAAAGACAGAGAGAGAGAGAGAGAGAGAGAAAGTGAAAATCACCCCTCCAGCAGAGATGGCCATGCCGCAGTCCCTTCTCCTTCATTCTCCTTGTGAGATTTTGGGTATGCATGCACATGCACCCGACATGTTTTTCAAGCTGCACTGTCTGGGACTTGAACTGCACAGTCAGCCATGTGGGATCCAACTGCTTTAACCACCATGCCACTGGCTGGTCTGGAGGCAGGATTTCTAGTCCAGATCTATCTCTACCCAATCGCATCTCCTAGATGCCCCACTGATATACGCACTCAGAGCAGGGAGCCCACAATTCCATTTCACTGGTCTCTGAGTTGATTCAAAGACAAGATAAATCTATTTTGCATCTACCTAGAAGAATGTCTTAATTTTAAGTGAAAATTTCAAGTCACTATGATGTACAGGACACGAAACTGCTCATAGAAGTAACTATGGTTGTAGCAGTAATGCCAATTCAATGCTTACCTGAGTCTGGTATTATTATAAGTGATTTATGTAATTTGCTTAATTTAATTTTGACAATGAACCTATGAGGTATACACCAGCACCATTCCCACTTTTTTTTTTTTTTTTTTTTTAACGTTTTTGCCATAGGGTGCATGCACTTGCGGGTGAGAAACAGAGAGAAAGTTAAACAACTCCATTACACCACCTGCTGGTCCCTATGCTTAATCATTTAATGTATGTTTACTTGCTTGACTAGATTTATCTTGCTTTACTTTTTAGTTTTTACTTTTACTTGCTTTACTTTTCATTGTAATAGGTAGTACATACAACACCTCAGAGTTCTTTTCAGTTATGATAGCAGTACTACAACAGTTTAAAGGAGGCAGACTTGTAAACAGAGAAAGCTATTCACCTCTTCCCTTTCTAATGTTAGCAGCTGAAAAGTGCCCTGTACTTCCCATGTGAATAAAAGCCTGGTGTTACCAGGTACTTACATGTTTCCGGTGTATAAAACATGGGATCTAGCACTAGACATCCTGAGTTTGGATTCTAGACTCAGCAGTTAGCACCTATGTGATTGTAATCAAGTAACTAGACTTGGTCTACTGATCCTCATTTCTCCTGAAATGTCTTCCTTCATCTCCCATCAGCTATGCCATTTGTCCACTTAGAAATTTGATTTCCTCCTCTCTGTGTGGGGGTGCTTCCTTGAATTTTGCAGCTGGTTCTGTTCTCGCTTTAACTGGGATTGATTATCACTGACTTTAACACTTGACTTTTGAACCAAATGCTCCTTCTTTATGCACGAATCCCTTTTTCTTCTAGCTCGGTGAGCTTGGATGGACACAACTTGGGTAAATGCCCTTTTATTTCTTTCTCTAACCAAGGTTCTTGCTTTCTCTCTCCTTTCTAGCACCCCTGGGCCCATTCTGGCCTCCTTTCGTGTGAGAAACCAAAGCACAAGGTACTATAGGCACAGCTTGTAACGCAGGGAGAGAACAGGGCTTCTTTCTGCTCCTAGAGAGCCCATGATACTTAAATAAGGTTTTCTTTTTGCAAGATCCATGGAGAAACAGTAGGTAGAGGGCCATCTTGGATAGTACACCACTCCCAGTCTGTCTTACAGTTTGATTTCTAATTCTGAAATGAGATCAAGTGTCTGAGGACAGAGAATATGTTTTATTCTTGGGTTCCCCAGGAGAATGGGGATGGAGAACGTTCCCTATGGATGGATGATAGAATCATGGGTGAATGTAAGGGTAACCTAAAGGTAATCCCAAGATCACTTTCTCAGCATGTGGTACACATGGAAGGACCTAATTATAAAACAGTCTAAAAATTAAACAAACTCCAATATACTTTGCATCCAACTTACACACACACGTGCGCACACCACACACGCAGAGATAATTACTGTTATCTCTGAACTAACTTTCTACAGTTCAAATGTGTCCCCTCATAGGTTGAATCTTGATTGTGGAGGACGGAAACAATCTGAAGATAAGACTGTGGGATCTCTTAGAGGTGACTTGGATGAAAATCATCAGGGTGGGGCTTCCATGGCTGAATCCTGGTAGATTCACAAAGAGTGAGTGCTCAGAGCAGAGACACAGAACTCAGACACCCTCCTTCTTGCCCTCTCACACAAAACGATGCCCTGCCCTGCCCTGCCCTGCTTGGGACTCTCCTGATGTGGCTTCTTGGCCTTGGACCTCTGGAACTGTGGGCTGCATAAACCTCTATCCTGTAGATTAGCCAGTCTGTGGGATTCAGTTATCACTAAGAGAAATGCATTTGCCTAAAAGACCCCTCTGTGGCCCTTCAGTTCAACCCTTCCCCCATGCTTAAAGAGTAGCAGGATTCAGAATTTTGCTTTTTTCTATTTCCCTTTCTTTTCTCTCTCTTTCCTCTTTTTTCCCCCCTCTATCTTACCACACTGCCTTCTTAATTCCTGAATTCCCCTGGGACTCTGTCTTCCTCTCCCTCCTGTTCTCCACTTTTCTTACTAGGTAACTCTCAGAACGGCTAACTCCGGAGCACTAGCTAGGAGCAAGAAGACCTAAGTGTTTTTTTTTTTCCCCTTAAGTTTAAGTGCTGCGTCCTTCCAGCTGATGATCTGCTCGCCTCAAAGGGTGTGTTCTATCAAAAGACTACGCGTGGGAAAGGATGTTGTAAGCCCCAGGGCTTGTTAGTGGTAAGCCTGGAGTCTGACAGGGCTCCCCTCTCCTCCTCCTCCCTACTCCCAGGCCCAGAGCCAGACCTTCGGGATCAGGTCGGTGACGTCAGAGGAGGGGGCGCAGCTGGAGGGTGTGGGGTAGTCAGCTGGCTTAGGAGGTGCGGGCTGAGAAGCTGAGCTCTGGTTGGCAGGGAATTCTCAAGGCCGCTGGCACGAAGGTCTCTGTAGAGGGTGGGGGGTTGGAGGGTATACAGATTACTGTCCCGTCCACACACACACACACACACACACACACACACACACACACACCACTCTCCGGGGACAGTGCAAGTGGGCTATGGATCGCAGCCCCAGAGACCGCGTTTGCAAAGATCAAAGGACAGTAGGACAGAAGTGATGCTCTGTCACCAGCTGCCTGCACGGCCCTGCCGCTTCCCTGGGGTACAGGGTTCTCATCCTCCAAAGCGGCAGATTAGAAACCGTTTCCCCAGGTCAGGCCTGTCTGTAACTCGACCACACAAAGCAGGCACACACAACCTCGGATGTCGCGGAGGACGGGCAATGTAGTAGGGCCGAGAAAACCCCCGACGGAAACGCCGGCGCAAAGAGCCAGGGGTCCTCGGTCCGGAATTTGAGCGCAGCCAGTCCAGTGGCGCGCCAGCCCCCGCGGCTAGGCCGGCGCCAGGCGCCCCTGGGCCTCGCGCACCGCCCTCCCCCAGAGCTCGGGCCCCGTCTCCGGCGTGCGAGACTTTCGCAGAGGCCACTCACCAGGTCACCCTGCAGTTTCTACCCGCGCGGCTGGGAGGGGTAGACCCCGCGCACGGGGACTCACGGTCGGGCGGGGAAGAGGTTCTCCTGCAGGGCAGGGACCCGAGGCCGAGCGGAGAGTGAGGAGAGGAGGGGCGGAGGGCTTTCCTCGCATCCTGCTCCTCCCCACTTCCTCCCGGGCTGGAGTGGGAGCCCGAGGGGCGGCGCTTGGCGGGGGACAGCGCTTCTTTGTGTCGCCCGCCTTGGCGGCTTAGGACGCCCGGGGCCCCATCCTGGCAGTGGGCACGGCAGTGTTATTACAGATCGAAATTTCTGACCACTAGTAAGGAAACGCTGAACGCATTACGGGACATACCTTCAAGTCTATGAGGAGCTTAAGTCTCCATTTAGTTGGAAAGTACCTAGCCATATTGCCAAAGGGGAGGTTGTGCAATACCCTTTTTGTTTTATAATTAAAGGAAACCCTGTATATATTTGTGCATTTCTACCTATTAATACTGTTTAACCTGAGGGCTAGGGGAAGGGCTACTTTTTATAACGCTACACTGATTACATTGCTACGTGGGTGGTTTTGCTAAATTAAAAAGAATGTATTTCCAGCAAACAACAGGTAGCTAAAATTGATTCTTAAACTTCAAATCCCCATTTTATTTATTTATTATTTTTCTGATAATCAGCGACCCGTGGTTGCTCCTGCTTGGATGAACTGTCTTCCGTGGTACTTCCTCTCCGTGTCAAGTGTTAATTCTAGGTTGTGAAATGCAACGTAGTGCAGTGGTTAGGGACCCAGATGGTCTCCAGACTGTATACAAATTTCAGTGCTATACCTTATCAGCTGTGTCACTGGGAAAGTTACTTAATTCCTCTGTGCCTCAGTCTTATTACCTGTGAAATGAGGATAACAAAATCAATGCCTATGTTACAGACTGATTTCAAGGACTACATTAGGGACGTAATACTTGTAACATTCTTTAATCAGGACCTGGCATAAAGTAAGACCCTATGAGTGCCTGTTAAATTGGTATTCACATCATTCAAAGAGCCCGCATTTCCTGTTTCAGAAAAGTGGATACTTAATCCCGACTAAGGTTTTGGACAAAATCCAAGCCACACCTTTCCTCATCTCTTTTCAACATCTTCCTCATATGGAATCGTGTGAACAAAAATCAAAAATCGATAGGGCCCTGTGGGGAGGTGAGCTCAGTAACAGGGCTTCCTTAGAGAAAATTGCAGGGGCAGAAATCAGTACCTCCTGAATCCGGGGTCCTGCCTGGTGGAGGGCCACCTGAGAGACAGCAAGCACCTCCTTTCTCCTTCAGGATTCTCAGCTACAGGAGGGCTGGTGCATGCTCACTAAGTCACTTTCAGGTCTGGAATGTCAGGGCTAACAGTGCTATACGTTAAAATCCTGTAGTAATGAGTCTTAGGAACATTTAAAATTCAGAACCAAACTGCATATATTGCTTACGTGAAAATAAATAAGGGGATAAAACGCATTTGGGAAGGAGACAAGCTAACACAACTCTGAGGATGAGGAGACTTGGTGGGGAAAATGGCCTTTTAGCTCTTAAAAATGGGGGGGGAGGGATGGAGATCGTTGAAGCAAGGGTGATAATATATATATCAGCATCTGATAAATCTATTGTTTTCTGCACATTGCTTTGAAATATTTCATAATGAAATGTTTGAAAGGGCTTGAGATGTATTAGATTCTTGATAGGTTCTCGAAAAAGAAATAATCATGAAAGACATAAGAATCAGAGAGGTAGGAAAAGAGCAGAAAACGAAACAGAGATGAAGAAACCGCAGGAAGCCTCTTTGAAAGACATCTGCCTCCTTGGCCCACGCAGTTTCGGGCCAAAAACACAACCACTTTCACCCCCTTGGCAGTGCTCTCCGGGGACCTGGGCCTGGCGCCTCCCTCTCCTACCCGGCCGCGGTGGATTGGTGACCCGGGCTGTCGCTACCTCGGCGGGCACTCCCGGACCTGCTTGGGTTCCAGAAAACATCTTTGGACAAGACTCACCGTTGGTCCAGCAATTTCCCCCCCGGCCTACCTCAGACAGGGGAGGGAATCCTCAGCAGAGACGTGACAAGAGATGGGGTCGACGGCCTGGGGATTGGAAAACTGGAGGTGGAGGAGTGGTAGACGTGTGGGGGAAGGTGGGCTGCAGTGCGGGGCGGAGCGAGGAAGGGGCCGTCCTAGGAGCTGATTGGCCACCGCGGGCTGGGGGCGGAGCTTGGCCGGAGACCTAGACCGCAGAGGCCCTGCTTTGTGTCAATTTCTGCCCCAAGATGCAGGCCCCAAATCCGGGATGCAGACCCAGGCTCCCGCCCTGGGAGTGGAGCCGGGCAATTTGTTAAATTAAATCGATGACAGTATTTATTAACAAGAGAAGGGCTAATAAATAATGACATGTTTTTCAATTAAAATAATACACACTATTATATTTCCAAGGCTGGGTTAAATATATTTTGCCGAAGATTAGCATCTTTCCATCTGTCTCTTTGTATACAAGTATGTATATATGTTTGAGTGGACATATATATAACATATATATATGTCAATCTATCATATATTTAAATATTATTTTAACTAAACATTTAATGTAGTAAAATGGAGTTTGTATTTTTACATCAAAAAGAAAAATGTTTTAATATAAACACAGAAATCTTATGGGAGATATACATAAAACCATTAAAATCATTGACTTCAAACAGGGAAGTGGATTATTTTAAAATATTTATATAAATGGATTACAAGTACTTTTTTCATAAAGCTCATCAATATTTGAATAGTAATAAATATTACTTTGTAATAAAAACAGTAAGTTTAATCAACTTAGGTAAATTATCCTTGCTTAACCAGTTGATAGTGACTTCTCTATATAAATATGATGTCGCTATCCCTGTGTAAAGGCTTCTTAAATATCTTTGTTTTGTTTTGTTTTCAGAGGTTTTTGCTTTAGAGAGCGCTTGCTTGCCAGAGAGACAGAGAGACAGAAAGTGAGAAATCATCCCCCCAGGGGGGATGGTCACGCTGCAATCCCTTCTCCTCTATTCTCCTCTCGGGATCTTGGGCACACACATGCACTGGCGAGAGGTTAAGCCACTGGGTCTGAGACCTGAACTGGGGTCAACTACTTGGGAGTCCAGCCATATAGCCATTATGCCAACTGCTGGTCCTGGGGCTTCTTGAATTTCATCCCTAGTCCTGAGCACTTTATTTTATTTATTTTAGAGAGATTTTTGCTATAGGACACATGCACTCACTGGAGAGGCAGAGACAGAGAGACAGAAAGTGAGAAATCACACCCCCACCCCCACCCCCGAAAGTATGGCCACACTGCAAACCCTTCTCCTCCATTCTCCTCTCGGGATTTTAGGCACACACACACACGCACAGGCACCTGGAGTGAGTTTCATATTGCCGAGTCCAGGACTCAAGGCACCATTAGCCACGTTTGAGTCCAGTGCGTCAGTAACTACGCCACCTGCTGGTTCAGTCCTGAGCATTTTAATGGAGAGTTGGATCCAGCACTTGATTCTAGAGCCAGGATCTGGCTTGTAAAGTCCTGTCTGATCTGGCCCTGAATGAAATTTCACCTGCTTACCTAGCTTGGTGAGCTGGGGAGGGTTGACTGGAGAGAACCACCTGTCCCTAGTTATGACTGACCCAAAGGTTTGAAGGAGAGTTGCACCACCCTTGTTCATTCTGTAGCTTTTTCACTTCTCACCTCCCTGGCGCCTCCTGTCCTGGTACCTGAGAAGGTGTCTCCAGACCAAACTATCCAGAGGAAGAGACCATTGTAACCGTTTTGCTCCTATGACAAAACAGGGTTCAGACTACATTTCCCAGGGGAAAGTGGATTCAGTGGCTGACAATGAAGTGTGACATCTTGTTTGACTAAATTTTGCATTATAACGCTCCAAACTAGAGGAAGCCTAGGTCAAGAACTGTGTTTTGCTCTGCTTTTGATTCCCTCTTCACCTAGGTTGTGAACAGGTGCTCCAAAATGCACAGTGGATAGGTAGATGACAGGATATGGGGTGAGGTGACTGTGGGGCAAGAAAGGTGGTCCTTAGGCTCATTCCTCAACCAGCACGAAACAACCTGACCCAGAAAACTGCTTAAAAGACTGATTTCCTGTGCTGTGAGTTTCCTCTTTCCTGTCTGATCTTTTCTTTAAAATTTCCCTCCTAAGTCTTCTGTTTTCGTTTTATATCTCTTAATGGTTTTCTCTAAATTTGAGTTTTTCCTCTGCCTTAGACTTCATAGTTCTAGTTCAATTTGAAATTCTGTGTCCTTTCTTATTTCTACTTCCCATTGAGTTTCTTTGTCTTTCTTTCCAGTTTTGTGCTCTGAGGAGTCCTGAGCAATCAACTACCATGGATTCCTGAGGCATTGAAATAACTTTGAGACATGAGGTTGTGCACTCAACATGTGATTAAACAAAATTTATTTTAAAAAACCCCACCATACTACTGATATTATGCAAATCTTGAAGAGGATGAGCTCTTCCTACCATGAAGAATGATTTTTATCTATATTTTCAGTAAAAAATTTTAAAACACTTTTTCAAGAAAAAAAATGCTATAATGTATCTTATATAAACACAAGCTAAAGATATATCTGGCTATTTCAGGAAGTGAAGGAGGGTTGACCCATGATGCTTTCTTTAGACACTTTGTATTTTTAAAATGTTATAAATTATCAGTTTGAAATGAGGACTGTTTAGTAATATCATGCTTAGTGTATACAAGATAGGAATGCATGCACATGTTCTTCAAATGACGAGCTCTAGAATCTTCAAAATGGCGCCATCCATAAGACTCTAAAACTGGAAGGTATCTAAATGTTACTCTCTCTACTGTCTCCCCTCTTGTGCCATCTTGGTCTATCAGCTGAGCACCATCAGCAGTAGAATATATATATATATATATATATCTTCTCCTCCATTCTCCTCTCGGGATCTTGGGCACACACGCACACGCGCCCGGGGTGAGTTTTAAGCCACTGGGTCCGGGATGCGAACTGCAGTCGACTACGTGGGAGTCCATCAACATAGCCATTATGCTAACTGCTGGTCCCCAAGCAGTAGAATATTTAAAGTAATATATTCACAGTGAAATCTTGTACAGCAGTGAGAATTAACAATGTT